ATATGGGATGTGAATGATCTCACCCAAGGGAGGAGATCCCTTCACAGACATGAGAAGCTTCTTTGCTGTTCTCATGGAGGGGAAGGCTTTGTTTCTATCTCTTTCTATCTGCCTGCTCTGAAATCCGGCCCACTAACCAGAATTGACTGAAATAAGCAAACCCAGTGCATTCGGAGTGCACAACATTTCCAGATACAGGATGAAGTCAAGATCACTTTCCTAAAAAACCAAAGCACCCTCACCAAACAGTCTTCAGGTAGTCCRAAGTCTATTCTTGCTCCCCATTCTAGGACCCAAAATTCAATTTGTGTCTCTTCTTTGGGAATTTTCTTCTCTTTCCTTTCTCCTTCTTTCTTTGGTTCCAGTTTTATCAATACTTGTCACATCTCAGGCTATCTAATCAGAGAAGATTAGAAAGCAGCTCAAAATACCTGATCATTGTTAGTAAAAAAATTTATTTGTCTTAATACCCTTCATTTTTAGTGATTATTGAGCACTGAGCATGGACTCCCATCAGCAGATATGACTTTTCTTAGCATATTCTATACTTTTTGMCTTTTTCCAGCATCCTCATAGATATGTAGTCTATCACACATTCAACCTATTTCTTTTATCCTTCTTTCTTTCAACTAYTATTTCTAACTCAAGTAGCTTTCTTTGTACTGTGCTCTGATATAAAAGCTTGTTATTGCATTTCCCCCTTTCTACTTAATTTAGTACTCGTTATTAAAATAGACATATCAAGCAATGTATTCAAATTACATTGTTTTCCATAATTTTGAGTTCTTCATTTCCCCTTTCAATAACCTTGGTTTTGGTCTAMGTATGTCATTTTCCGTTATATATGCTAATTCTGTATGAAAAGTGAAAATGAAATTCCAACCTTCTTCAAAGGTACTTAAATGCTACATAAGCCTAGAACATACAACAACTCCAAGAGCACCATTTTCTACAGACAAGGGGAATAAAGTGGGAAGTAGGAACAAATAGGACTCTTGAGATTTCACCTAAAATTATCTTCTAACTAATCATTTTCACCAGCACTCAATTCATTTTCAACATTTTTTCTTAAATAGTCTTGATTGTGTGCTCTAGTTTTCATAAATAGTTTTGGACAATTGTAGTTGTAATTATTAAGAATCCTAAAACTGTGAGTGTATGTCACTTCAGTCAAACCAATTAAGAGTGCTAGAAAGCATTACCTGTTCAACATGAAGAAATGTCAGCAGTGTTTGGAACTTTGCCCAGAGTTCAAAGTAGAACAAGTTCTTAGGACACATTACTCTTACATTGCTGTGTTCCAACAGAGGTGGCTCATAGAAAACACCAGTATATTTAGATTCTGCACAGCTGTGGATGATGCCACCCACAGAGAGCTAGCCTTGGACCAGGTGTGAGACATTCCTCTTGCCWTTCTCAAGGGATTTATTCACTTCTGAAGGACCACCACCCTTCCTGAGCAGCCTGTTCTGTGGATTCGGGCTACATTCCTGCAGGGAAGGTCAGTTTCCCAGGAGCACCCTTCCTTTTTCGATGTCTATAATCAAATACTCATTTTTCCACCATGCTCTAAAAATAAGAGACTACCCCCCTGCCCTCCACACCAAGGTGTTCTTGCTCCCTACTCTCTCTTTACTAAGATAAGCCCTCGAGCATATTACGACTTCCCATACTCCCCCATTGACAAAAGAGATCTTTAAGGAGACTTTACTTTWGTCATCTCCTCCAGCCACATCTCACTAACTCCTAGGTCTTTGTTAAATAGCTAACAYTTTAAATTCCAATATTATTTGGTATTCCCTCTGAGAATCAACTTCAAGTATTTTGACTTAATATTAGACTGACCCATTTGAAGTTGTTGATATTCAGTCATTTTTGATATACAAAATGGTCAATTTTATGTTTAATATTTAATATAACAATGAGTTATTACTTTTTTTTTAGCACCTTCTTATACATAGGCATCTCTGTTATAAACTATTTACCATTAGGTTTGAATCCCTTGGAGAGAACTCTTCTTTAGACCGGGATAAACAACATACAATAAGAGCCCAGTGTTGTATAGTGGTGGAGGACAGGGACTCTAGTGTCAAATTACAGGGTTCAGACCCCAGCTAAGCCCGAATCTAGTGAATGTCTTACACACATCCTGAACTTTAGTAGAATGAGAAYGATAACCGAACCAACTAGAGTTGGGTTAATACTCTGGATAGTACTTGACACAGAGGAGGTACCATTGAACTATTTTAGATCCAGTTACATCAGCAAATTATCTTTCTTTTGCCCTACAGATAAAAATAATTGTTTTAAAAAAATCATTTCTTTCAGCCTCCTTATATTTTACCTGATCTATATGATTGGATGTCTAGACGTTATTGGAGACTTTTAGGTACTCCTGTTGATGGCCCTAGCCAGCAATCTTCTTCACCCTGAAGCTGGTGAGGGACTTTAGAGTATGCCTAAGAGGTAAATTCCTTGGCTACTCACACTCTAGGGAATTCAGGCCAAGAATTCAAGATAATCCTTAACTTAAAGGAAATGGAAAATGCAAATAAGGGTCTCCTGAGAAATTCAATGTTATTTAAGAGCAGAAAAGAGATATAATAAAATTTAATTAAATAAAGATTCCCTTTAGTCATTAAGCTGTAGAAAGTAGAAATTTCTCTGTGATATTTCCCTGCTGTTTTATTAGTACTGATGTCTTACTGAGTGGGTATTAGGACAATAGCCTAAGTAAATATTTACACTATTTTGAGCAGGACTCTAAGTCAGCTTTTGGGAGAAAACATATGAAGTAAAAGAAGGAATGGAATTTAGGTTTTTGTAACTTGTCTCTGTCATAAATCTGTGAAGATTTGAGAATAAAAGTGATATTCAAGGACTGCTTAGTTAGGAAGTTAGGTTAAGAATATTGGGTGTCCCAGAAACTGGGTGGGTGGTCCATAAAAGAAAACATGAGAAATAGAGATAAATGCCAGAGGAAAAACTACAACTGGGAAAGAAAAGTAAAGGTTTGAAAAATAAATATGCATTGAGTRAATTGGTGAATCCACCAAACACAAAGGGAGAGATTAAAATCAGTTTTCCAAAGAGACCTGGAAGAGCCAGCTGTGCTGGGAATCACATTTAAAATGGGCAGGACGTGGGAAAACGGCTCCTCTGGAATTTTTTCAGTATCATTTTAGCCAAAACGGTCCAGTTTCTTTTATATTTTTTAGAAGACTTTTGAAAACAATGACCAAGTTTCTGGCACTTTCGACTTTACCATTTAATATTATATTATAGACTTAGGGCCATAGTGATGAAGAGAAAACTGCAGAATCCCTAGAAGCTAGGTGCTCAAAAATGGCTGCCATGGAATAGTTGAGAAGTTTTAATCATGTTGAAATCAGCAATAAAAAGACATTTTTCTCTAGCACAATAATGACAGTATTTCCAACAAGCTTAATTCATAGTTGCAGTGGTATCTTTGCAGTTTAGAAGATCAGTTTTTTTTAGGTAGGGAGTTTCATTTCTAGGTACGGTAGACTTAAGACTCTACCAGAAAAATTACTCCACAGAAAATATTTATAAAGCTAAGATGTAGTGCATGAAGCAATGATAAAGATACTGGCAGTGAACAGAAGAGAGATCTGGTGGAGAATCCATGCTCACTTGGAGGAGGAAACATGGGAAGGTCCTTAAGTAAATGCTCCTCTCTAYAGTTTTCTTTCTGGGTTAACTGCAACTCAAGTGCACACACCAAAAACTTAAAAATAAACAAATGAAAAATAAGACACAAAAGAAATATGCCCAGGGATTCCAGAAATATGAAACTGTAAAACATTAATCAGAGTGTAAGTAAATCTTAAAAGCCAGAAAGGGCTTCCTTAAATCTGTCTGTCCATATTTTTTATTCACCTTTAAACCATGTAGAAAAAAAAGAAAGAAAGAATAAAACCAAAACAGACTCCAAGCAGCCCAGTAAAAGGTTAAAGCTCTGCCTGAATGTGAAGATGCTACTCAAAACAAACAAACAAACAAACAAAAAACAAGATATTGAAGCCCGAGCCCAGGCAGGAAAATTACTTGCCAAATAAAGCCCACATGCTAATCTTCCTCCCATGCTCTCCCTCCCTACCCTATTTTAAGTCACCCCGCTTATATCAGAGAAGACATTTGGCATTTGTTGTTTTGGGATTGGCTAACTTCACTTAACATAATCTGCTCTAATGCCATCCATTTCCCTGCAAATGCCATGATCTTATTCTTTTTTTAGTACTGAGTAATATTCCATTGTGTATACATGCCACAATAATAATAAGAGAGCTCATGTATAATGGCATAATTTGGAGTGAACATACTTTATATAGAGAGTTACAAAAAACTGTGCTGTGAATGGATAATTATGGTTGTAATGCATTCCACTATTGTCATGTATATAAGAAATAAAAAAAGCCCACAACACTCATCAAAGAATATAGCAGAATCCTGAATCCCCACAAATTAAAGTTCCTATTGTCTAGCAAACACTCTAAGATTACCCCAATTGAATACCCCAAACAAAACACACATTCTCAAGCAAAAAGAAAACTTCTTGGAGAGAGAGTTTAACATGGATTATGTATTAGAAAAAAATTTAGCATATAATATCCTCATCTTCAATAAAGTAACAACAATAACTTATATTTTCAGTGAATAAAAATCATAGAGAAATGTCATATTAATCAGAGGAATGGAAATTATAAGATCAAGATGAGAACTCTAGAACAGAGAAATAAACTTTCTGAAATAAAGAAGACCTAAACAAATGGARAGMKATTTCCACAAACTGSAAGAGTGTTATCCTGGAAGACTCAGTTTTGTTAACATGGTGGTCCTCTCCAAACTGATCTATGGATTTAATGCAATCATATTCAAAATCCTGACAGTTTTTTTTTTTTAAACTGGGGATTGAACCTAGGGGTGCTTTACCTCTGAGATACTTTGCCAGAACTTTTTTATTTTTTATTTTGATACAGAGTCTTACTAARCGATAGAAGTTGGCTTCAAGCTTGCTCTGCTCCTGCCTCAGCCTCCGGAGTAGTTGGAATTACAGGTATGAGCCACTGTATCCAACTTTTCGCAGACATTTTTGCAGAAAATGATAAGCCAATTTAAAACTTTAGGCAGAAGCCAAAGGACCTAGAATTATCTTGGTAAGAGGAGTTTTACATGCTATCTACTGTGGAGGGGGTGTATAAGTTTTAGCAAGGATGGTATAGTTTCATCTTATTTTCCCAGAAACTCATCTATATAGAAAAAGTGAATGACATATAAGAAAACATCTTTATATATGAAGGAAATGGCTGTAAAGTGTTCCTGCTGTGAGTTATGAAAGATGAGAAGCCCCTCTCACATAATCAGTCCAGAGCATGTTGATGTATCTAAGACAGTTCTAGGGGCGTGTGTATGTATACGTACACATGTGTACATGTGCACAGATATATTTGATTCATTCAAACACTCAAAAAGGAGGCTTGGAAATAATTCATACCTAACAATCTCCCTGGAGAGTCATTATGCCTATTTACCTGAGGCAAGGCTCTGAGATTTACTTCCGGTCCAAACTTACTTAATGTTGTCTTTCAGCATACAGACTGAAACTTGGGATAATCCTGTGGGTAATGTATAAAGTAAAGATGGTTCATTTAAAAGTCCTAGTCAGCTAATATCTGMTAATGGCTTCTTTCAGTCTTTCCTATGAGACAGAAAACAGCAAATTAGAGGCAGTGGTTCAATAGCTGCATGTGCGTATTTTTTTTTTAATCAGCCATTTTGTTACTGAAATAAGAATTTAAAATACTGTGTATATTTTAAAAAGAGAAAATATAGTGTAACAGTTAAGAACAGGAAGACTAAAATGACTGCAGGTAATGTTCAAAAGAGTGTGGATAAAAATCCCCAAGTGACCTAATTATATCATTTCAAGATTCCTTAGGATCTTCAGCTCTTTTAAAACATTTAGAAGAAAAACATTAGTTATACAAATTTAGTTAAACTGGTTTTMTCTTTAATTCCTTAGTCTATAGGAAGGTTGTAAAAATTGATGAGATAATAAAAAGTTTAGGAGAAAGTCAAAATGTTTGACTCACCTGTACCCCGAATGCCAACCTGAGTACTTAAGAGTAAGACTGCATTGGAAGTGAATGACTTAGTAAGGAGAAAGGTAATATTAAAATTTAATGTATATAGCATGTTAAGGAACACTGGCCTTTATTTCCCAAGGCCATTGTCTAGAAGAACAGCAGTAGACTATCGAAAGTATATTGAGTTTAATTGATCAGCCTGCTTTTTATGATATTATTGAAATCTAGGTGATGACCACATAAAATTCAGTCGGATCTTCCACAGCTTATATTTTTCCAGATTGCATCAAACCTCACATAGTCCCTAAGCTAATTTTATAGCATATTTTTCTAATAATGTTACATTGTTCTTGAGTAGGCCAACTATTTCACTATTTCTCAGGGACTAGGTCAGGACCACCTATATCAGAAACATCAGGAGTATTGTTAAAATGCATATTTTAAAGTCTCCTCAAAGACTCTGGCAGGGAATCTGCATTTCACCAGGCACCCCAGATGATATTTACCCTCACTGTTTTGAGAACCACTGAACTACTGAAAGATGCTCAAGGTGCAACTACACAGTTATCACCGAGCTTCACTTATCCAGAAAAGCAAAGGAGAAGCTATCCCAGCCTCATCCCAGCACAGGCTTCCTGGCTTTGGAGAGTCAGGCTAGCAGAGACTTCAAACTCTGGGTCAGAGTTAAAGTAGGGTTGGCAGTTTTTATGCACAATGCCTAGATGAATAAGAAATTCCAGAAAAACAACAAATAACTGTTTAGCATATGGATATCTCAAATATCCCACAGGATGTATACTGCACAATTATTTATTGTTGGTCTGAAATTCAAAATAACTGGGTATCCTGTACCCTTATTTGCTATATTAGCAAACTTATTTTAGAATTTTAATAGGTCTAGGTTTAGATCTGCATTTATTAGTTCAGTGACCTTGGAAAAATTTCTTCACTTCTTTAAACTTCTGTTTCCCAAACCATGAGATAGAGCAAGAGTAACAATAAAACTCAATCAAGAAGCAAATGCCCACACAAACCTGCCTCATTTGGGTTGTCAGGAAAATCATACTGTACGCATTCCTGAATGCAGTTGTTTTACATGTAGTGCCTGGGATATATTAAAAGCTCAGTAGAATGTAGTTTTTATTGTTATTGACATTGTTAATAATATCTTGTCAAAAAGAGCTAGAAACCTGGTTAACAAATACATTGGGTTGAAATTGACAATGTATAATTTTTTTTGACTTAGCACATTAATGGGACATATACAGCAGCTAATTCAACACTTCAATTTCTGTCTATCCATTTTCTTCTTTTGTTTGGGTTTTTACCATGTTTATAATTTAGGAACAAGGCATGTGAATCTTTGGACTTTTTTCACTCAAAGCTCCCTCTTGTGGTTGTAAATTTTACAATGATTTAGGACATTTTAAGTACTTTGTTCTTTATTTTTAAAAAGTGTGATATTGAGATAAGCTTGTCATATTTTTGAGTGTCAGGCAGCATTTCAATGATTAAAAATAGTATTGTCAATATTTTTCATTTCGAAATTCATTTATATTAACAGTATCAATGAGTATGCATTATTTTAAGCCTCTTCTTTTCCTGCTTAAAGCAATGATTTTGTTGAATTCTTCTTTCTATTGTTCTGATGAATAGTAACAGTTGTTCAGAATCCACATATCTTATCACATAAGGAATACATATGTCATTCAGTATTCTCTGTCAAACTATTTGTTCATTCTTGAGGATATTTCTTGCAAAGTAATCACATTACTGGGAAAAATAGGCAAATGTGGAGTTTAATTTTGCAGTTTTGTAACATGATATACTTTTGAAGAGCTTTTGTAGTTTTATGCAATATTTTGAGGGAATGTTTGGTATTTATAATTTATGTATGCCTTTTAGAATGCATAAACACATTTCAGGATCTCACATATTTTGATACTTCTGAGTACAGCCATGTAGATAATTCAAAATCAGCATCTATAAATCTCAGATATATAATGTTGAAAGAAAGGGTTACAGAACTAAATGTAAAATACAGGAAGAGTACTTTTCATTGCTTTCCATTATTTTACTTTTAGATTTATCCCCATGTRTAATGGTCCAAATATGTAATTCTGAAAATCATATTAAAGAAATGTTGCATATAGGTATTAAAGAGATTTTATAATTCTTGAAACCTATAAAACATTAGCCAGTTATTTCTACTTATAGACATAGGATGGAATATTTTATTTCCAGGGAGTTCTATTTTGTAATCCTCTGTTTTCATCATATGATTTTAATAATGGCTAAGTTACCAGAGTCAAGGTTAAAAGAACAGACTTTTCTTAGTTGTCTTCTTTGGGTCTTGAACATTGTAAGTCACCCGTGATTCTCAATATGATTTATTGGGTTGACAACAAAACAAAACAAAACACTTCTTCAAAGTCCAAACTTAGGTAAATAAAGTATAGCATTTCAGTCTTATGGATATCACTATGTCTTAGGTTCTTTTAAACAAATCCTTTAAAGGAGTTGTTTTAGGGTTTTCATCAAAACAAGAGTACCTTCTAACAAAGTGGGTAGTTACTTTGAAGGTCTGTTCTGAACTTTTAAAGGAATGTTCTTCAAGGAAAGACCTGAAGAGAGGGGAAGAGAGAGGCTATGTGAAAATCCTGGCACATAAAGTGTGAAAATAAATATTAAACATAACTTCCATTACACATTTTTTATTTGAATAAATTCTGATATAAAAAATTGTTTTCCAGATTGTGCATAATGTGAATGACTTCTTAATTGGAATAGGCTTAAATAGAATAAAAATAAATAAAGTAATTAGCAGCATTCCTGTAAGTCTTTTTCCTGAGATACTTCTCAAAGTTCTGGATCATCAAAGCCATGCAACAAATTCCAAGGCTCTCTCTAGAAATCTCTGTGAGCTTGGGTGTCAGATTTGTAATATTATTTTTCTGTGATTTTGGTATTTGGTGGGGAAAAACATCTTTCTGGGAATCATTTTGCCATTGAAACGTACTGGAGAAATAGCAGCATTATTGGAATATAAACTTTTTTTCAGAGAAAAGAAGAAAGATTGCTTCTCTCTCTCAGTTCAGGAAGGGAGTTGAATAGTGGAGACAGTAATAGTGTTCTTCACAAAACATTCTTCTCTAGTGTTATTGGCTTTTAATATGATTGCATTCTGATCATGATAGACAAGCCAGAAAGATCTACTTATGCCCTTTAATTTTATCGAAGACAGTACTACATGACCTTAGGAAAATATCTGACAATATCTTTAAGAATAAATAAGATAGTTTCCTTTTGTACAATGAAGTTTATTTTACAAGACCATAGTTTGATAGGCCCATATTGGTTTTGTTTATCCTGGCTCAGGGGAAGGGCTCTGTGCTCTGTTTCTGATAAATTTCTCCTTGTTTTCAGTTATGACAGATATTCCTTTGAATATAGTATATGAAAATATTCTAGCACCAAACCAAGACTATCTAACCTTATTTATGTCTGTATTCTGTCCTTAAACACAAACAGCTGTGCATACATACATCTGTCTCACGTCTGACCAAGTACTGCTGTCCAGGACTTCATATACACAAATAAATGTTCCCCTTTTTATGGGAAATTGTGGCTGGCGCAGCAGGAGTTTCAAAACCCACAAGCATTTTTCAAATCTTACTTGCACAAACAAAAAGAGGAAAAATACAGACAAACCAGGTTTGGAATTGCTGACCTTTAAAGTTGATACATAATGACTGAAAGAATCCCTATTTCTACCAAAAAAAAAAAAAGAAGAAAGAAAAGGAAAAAAAATATGAATATGTTTTTAAAATTACAAGAGTGACAGATCTTCTGGAGCCACATTATGCCCTGGAAAAGGAAAAGTATTTATAAAGTCTTCATTAGGTAGTTCTCTGAGTGATCCTGGGAAAGCAACTTATTAAGTGATAATCAGTGAGATCAGATGAGGAAA